TTCGTCAACACTAAGAGGCCTGTGGGATTTGCGAATTTTTTAAGTCGTAAAATTCGGATTCGAGATGGATTTTCATTGTAACCCAGCCCCCCCCCCTCATAACTGCGGAGGGAGGTCACCCTCTCCTACCATGCGGGCAATTCTATGAAAAGTGTCCGATTTCAGTCATGAACGTTTTATTTGTAAAATGTGTGATAAAAAATATCACATTTCACTTAAAATAATGGAATGTAAGTGTTTTTTAAACCGCTATTTTACTTTAAAAATACGATTTCCTTTTCTGCCGCTGTATTTAAAACTCTCTTCCTTCACATAAAATGGCTTCATTCAAATTACGGAGAATGTAAAGTACGATAGTGAATCTTAATCCATTATCTGATTTATAGATTTCACTTAAATTCCGCATTCAATTTGCAAGTTTGCATTTGTTTTGTCACGTGAACTTCTATCAGTTTCCGGTTCATATGACTGGACTGAGAATACTTAAAGAGTTAGCACTTCGATAAGATCTGAGCCTTTCCTTTAGCATCATTGATGACGGACCGCTCTTTTAACTCAAAACAACGCGAAGATCAATGGAAGAATACACAAAGTTGGATTCTGCTTCTGCATGATCCAATGCAACTATTTTAACCCCGCGGTGGGCCGGGTTGCATATGCTGGATTTTGTGGGCAAAATCTGAGATGTACCCACTGCCTACGTGCGCTCGCGATAGCATACAGGTACAAACAGTATTTTAGCGTATTTGACCCGGCCCACTGCTGAATTATAAAATAGATTTGTCGCAGGCAAGTAATCAAACCAGACGTTTTCTCGAAGGCCTACGTAAATAGTTAACTCATCACAGCGTACCACATTCAGCGCATTTTTTACGAAGAGTTCTGGAGTTATAAACGTTTTGAAATTAAAACTTTATATAATCTACGGACTTTCCGTGTATTTTACTTTACAAAATGCTCCTTATAATTTTAAATCATCAAAGATCTGACAATTCTACATTTTATGACACGCTGTTTTTGATATGGATATTCGTCCAAGAGCTAAACATCATTAGAGACTTCATTTTATATTTCAAATTGGTACAGTGAATTACTTTTTCACAAAAGTAAAGACTTATTTTGTTTGAAATTATCAAAATAACTAGAATTTCAATCCAAGGAAGAATATTTGAAAATTTCATGCTGTGTTCAAACCCTGCTTCCTACACTCTTCCATTGTTTTTCGCCTTATTCAAAGGCCGAATACGTTTGCGGACAGAATCTCATTCTGTTTAGTGTCGCGTTACAGATCTGTGCGATAGGAGCGTCCAAATAGTCGACCGAAATAGAGGTCACGTTACAGGGAAACACTTATTACACCTGTACCCAATCGCGGAAGCTGTGGGCAGTTCTCAGATTTCGCCCGCAAAATCAAGCGTATGCAACCCAGCCTACCGCGGAGTTAAAATATTTGCATGTCGGGTTCAAACCCAACTTTGAATATTCTTCCTTTGTTTTACGCTACGCGCATCATTCAAATGCCGAGTATATCTTCCGGAAAGGAACCTCGATTGATTTATATCACGTTATTTTGTTTCCAATGTTTTTTCTCGGTTAACTGAGGAGCTTAGAGGAAGTTATATTGAATATTGTTGGATGACTCCAATATCAACGGAGGCAATGGAACATGACGAAATGAATATTAAACAGAGAATCGTGTTAATTTAAAAAAAAAAGTTGGAGAGAAAGACCGGGATAATACTCATTCTGCTTCACTTGGATATGCCGATAGCCGAAAATATTAGTCCCTGATCGGAAAAAATCAAATTATACGATCTTCTCCCCGTGATCAAGCCATTGCGCTTGCAATTTTTTGCTGAATTCCATTTCTTTAAACATTCGCGATAGGTCTCATCAGGCAGACAGAGGTACAAATCTGCCGTGCTAAGGAAAAACGCCGTATTATTATTCGAGAGTTGCCAAATTTCCTCTTAGAAATTTTTTATTTTTGATGAAAGTTGTGAAGTGAAGAAGTGTCTTGAAAAATTCAGATTATTTAGATTAAATCTAGAACAAAATTCACTGAAAAATCGGAGGAAAAATATTTTCAAATTTGCCCGAAAATTGGTGATTTACCAAAAGAAATTTGGCAACGCCTGAGAGTTTATACGGCGTTTTTCCCTCGCACGGAATCTCAACCAATGCAAATTCGATCCTTACCGTATAGTCCAGGCGCCTGGTAAGTCCACCTGGAATTTTGGGTGCACAGCGATTTTTTTTGGCTTACAATATGTTTTCTGGGTCGCTGAATCCGAATCTGAAGTTTCCTACCGCGTATCTGGTGAGCATTTTCCGCCATTTT